GGATGCAGCCTCTGGAAGGGAAGCTCAGAAGTGGCCAGAAGGCTCTCGAGAGCCAGGGAAGTGTAAGCACCGTCAGAGTTGGGAATGGATTACTACGAGAATGAGTGATACACGCGGGCATCTCCAGAAACAAGGGGTGAGACACAGCGGACGGCAATAATGCGTATAAACAATCAACCAAAAATCCAACACAACGTTTACCAAACACCTGCTACAAGAAGGCACTGTGAGGAGTTTCTCATTCGGCAGGGGACACAGACCGGAAACTGGGATGCTAGCCCGGAGCCTGTGGAGGGCCACAAGACAAACACCCAGTGCGGAATCCGCTCCCTTCATTCGGCAGTGATGATCACGGAGGCGGTGCTGCAGACATAAAACCCCAGTGGTGCCTGCCACCCTACCATACACCCACATCAAGAAGGGGCACCTAAATTGTTCTGAAGGAGCAGGACTTTATCGGCATAGCTAAAAGAGAGAATTGCTGAGACCTGACCTAAGCTAATTTAGCCAGAGAGCCGACTATTATATTAGGTCCTTCCTGAAAATATGATTAGCCTTCAATATGTGGGCTTAGGTCAGTTCATATCGGTCAGTGCTGGCGGAAGAAGCAGCCTGATCTGAATCGGGAGAAGCAGGCCCTCCAAGCTTTGGCTGGGACACATGGTAAGTGGGAAATGTGGGAAGCAAAGCCAGAAGGGAGGCTGCAATTGGAGTTCGAGGACTTGAAATGCTTTGTTTCCCTTAGAAGTGTGCCCATGCCCGTCACCGAGAGACACGCAGGACCCCGGGCCCCGCACCCAGCACGGAGGAGTGTGCCTCTGTGGCTCACAGGGACACACGTGCTGCTCTGTGTGCCTGTGTGACGGGGTCCTGGGCCAACTCCCCGTCTTCTAGGCACAGCAGTGGGGGCCGAGAGCGCCGAGACTGGCGTGCAGCATCACGTTCTCTCCGCCAGATCCGAGAACGCGTCCAAACCACTCCAAACCCAGGGGCCGAAACTGCTGTGTTTCAGCCACAGCCTCTCGAGGCACGTCAATGAGCTCTATAAATACGTACACCGTTCATTCATTTGGACCCGACTTAACCCTCTGTCTATTTAACCTGCGCGTGGTGAATCAGCACAGGGCCGGACCTGGATGAAGCTAAGTGACGGCGACATCCAACTTCGTAAAGCAGTCACTCAACAATCCCACTTGCTCCACTTTAGAAGCCAGTGATAGGAAGCGGGCGGATATCCAAAAACAGAAAAAATGTTTTCCTCAATATCTCCACTCATTTCTTCCATCTCCGTGGCTTTGTGGCCTGCCTTTCTCCAATAGCTCTGACAACAGCATCGATACCACAGGTTCTTAATAGGGTCTGATATACTTGACCTACATGACTGCATTTAACAAGCAAGACAGCCACTCAGGCATAACACAGAAGGGAAATGGCTCACTTAAGGTCACTTAGCAAAGAGGGGAGCCATTCAACGGATAACAATAGAGCACCAACTGCCCATTAGTTGTGAAAAGGTGGGGAGAAGGATGAGTTCGCACCCCCCCCCCAGAGGAGGTAGGATTACCTTTCCTAGGCTTTCAACACCAACTTCTGCCACCTTCTAATAGACGATTACCCACCTTCCCCTCCCAATTAGCAGCTCCCTGAGTGCTTTCCAGTAATGAGGGCCCCATATCCTAATGCGAGCATTAATAAATATCATGTGATATACAATGCACGGTTTTCTCTCCTTCCAGTGAAGTGCACCAGACACAGCCTGGTGAACTTGGTACAGCTAAAATTGGTTACTACTTTTCTACCTCATTAATAATAATGAAGCTAGTTTGCCAAAGGCAGAAGTTTGAAAAACAGTCCCACAAACAAGGTCTATATTGGGCCAATGTAAGGCCATAAAAGTCATTTGGTGGTTAAATTATTTACCATCAGCCATTGCAAGTACAATGATCTCAATCGACAGTATCTAGTCCGCGCTCAAGGCTGAATCCAAGGAGGTCGCTCTGGTGGAGAAGTGCTCTTTGTGGACCCAGCCTCGGGCAGGAGGAAGGATCACAACAGGGTTTTATTCTGGGAATTGTCATTGCTCTGCCACCAGCTTTATTTCCTAGTCAACTAAAAAAAGCACACACGCACAAAAAAAGAAAAAAAAGAGAGAATCAAAATGAAAGGCAGTAACAGAACGAAGAGGAAGAGACCGGAGACACCCCAGAGGTCTGTCCCCCCTCTCTAACTCGGCACGCTCTGCAACACCAAGCACACGCTACCCCGCTGACCGAGAGGCTCCGCGCTGGTGCAGGCCGCGCATCACAAATATTTGAGCACTGAATCTGACTCATAAACATCTAAAAATATTCCATGCTTTAGGCTTTCAAAACACCATCCGTTTTAACCCCTTCCGCTCCTTCCATCGTGTTTGTTTTGAAACCAACGTAAAATTTTATTTTTAATGCATTGATTTTTAGAGAGGGAGAGAAACATGGATTTTTGTTGTTCCACTTGATTTACGCAGTCATTGGTTGGTTCTTGTATGTGCCCTGACCGGGGATCAAACCCGCAACCTTGGTGTATCTTGACAAAGCTCTGATCAACTGAGCGACTCAGCCAGGGCTGTAAAAATTGTTTTTAACCTACTTCTGCACACTGTAATGAAAATGCAGTGAATACAGGAAACCACAGACAATTAGATTTTAAGGCTTTATCATTCCTACATCTGATCCTGGATTTACTAAATCGGTTGTTAAGTATTTGTGCTATCTACTACCCTAAAAGAAATACATATATGTTTATGAAAAGGGTTGCCTGAGAGCCTTAACAGAGATCTCTTTGAGGGAGTATCAAAATCCATACATAAAAAGCCACTTTAAAATTGATCTAAACAACTACTAAACTCTTTGTTAAATTTCCTAAGTGTCCAATTTATAATGTCCTTAAAAGGCTGAAATATCTTTTCTGATCATAGACAAATACAATCATGTAAAATCAAAGCATTTTTAGGTTATAAAGATAGAAAGCCAGTAAATTTAGGCGAAAGATTTTTTTTAACCATACACCCACACCTAGTAGATTACATTGTATTTCTTCTAATTCTTTTAAAAATATTTAGTTATTTTTTAAATGAATATGAGAGGGGCACAAAACAGCCAGTGTCAAAGAGGCACCAAGATACAATTTTTCAATTTTGAAGTACTCCTGGTTTTAAGTACATGTACTGTAAGTACGTCCATAAGAATAGGTACTACATTTGTAATTCTAATTAAGATGTTTTACCAAAATAATCTACCAAAACTGCAGAATGTCAAAGGCTTGATAAATTAGGGAGAAAAAAAAATACTTAATAAATGAAAATGAAATAAAAACTCACATGTGACAGTATCCCTTAGAAAGCAACCACACGTGCACACACACACACACACACACACACAAATCAAAAACTACTAGAGCTTTTTTTTTTTTATAGTTCTCAAGAATGCTGGAGAAATGTAGTTCTGTGGATTATGCGAAGGACAGCAAATATGAACCTGCCTCCCTATTTAAGCTACTGTACTTCCATTTTTAAAACATGTATCTCAACTCCCCAGATACCATCATCCACAGAAGCCATGCGGCTATCCAACAGACTTTCAGTGTCACCATTTATTATTTATAGCATTCAATGGGGGAAGTGGCTCTGATGTCACCGACCCTACCCAGTGGAACCACTGACTCAATAAGCATTTTCACACTGGAGAAAACCTGGCTAGGAAAACATTTTGCTGGGTGAAGTAGATTCGTTCACCTTTCCTCTGGATCCTGGGGACAAGTTGCTACCTTGTTGGGAGAGATACAAAGAAACTGTCGAGGTTTCCACAGGAAGAAACCCTGGGCTTGTCCATCTGCCGAGGCAATGACTTCCCCCACAGCCCAGTCCGATTTCCCTAACGCTCAAACGGGCAGGTAATAGGTCTGCCGTATTTCCTTTCTCCCACCCAGTCGTCCACCAATTAGCAAATCCTACTAAGCCAATCTCTCCGGGACCTGTTTCTGAAAACCCCTGCTGGCTCCGCGTCCTAAGGGGGCAAGGGGCTGGGGGCGTCTGCGGGGGCGAGGGCGTCTGGCCTGGCTGCCAGTGGTCTCCACCCCAAGAGTGACCGCTTCCCCAGGGGCTCAGGACTCTCCTTTTCCATTTCTCTCCTTTATTTCATTATTATTGTCTCTTTTTTGAGAAGAAAGAACTGGCGGCAGTCATGAGGACAACCCCTCCCCCCCTCCTCCCCAATTTCCCAAAGCAGCTCTTGGAAAACGTGAAGTTACGGTTGCCCTTTCCTGGGAGATGGAGTCCAGAGGACCGAGGGCCTTGCTTTTGCGAACATCCCTCCCGGCCCAGTAGGAAACCCTTTGTCCCAGAAGCTGGACATCCCTGGGGTCCGGGAAAGAGGCCCCTAATCCGTCACAGCCTCCCACCCCAGAGCTTCCACCTCCACCCCTGGTAGGGCTTCTCCCGGCCTCTACACAGCCCTAGATCGCTGGGGAGAGGGTGCTGAGACCCCCACTGGGACGCGGAGGCCCGAGGCCCGGACCGATCTCCCCCCCGCGGACCCCCTCCCACCACCGTCTCGCTCGGCCCGAGTGGGGCTTGCAAGAGCGGTGCAGGCCTGGGCCGAAGAAACAGAGGAGGAAAATAAAGAAAGAAATCCGCTCCTAAGAGGAGGATGAAATGCCAGAGGGAGTGGGAGCTCAGGCCACAGCGTCGGCGAGCGAGGGTCGCCCGAGAGATGGGCCCGGAGACAGGGCAGGGGGAGGGAGAGCCGAGGGGCAGGAGGGGGCCGGGCCGGCTCCGGCCTGAGATCTCTAGGGATCCGAGGAGACCGCGCCGGGCCCCAGGCCAGGGAAGGCGGGAGGGCCCCAGCCCGGGCCGAGACGGCGGGGAAGGGCCAAGGGCCGGCCTCGCGCCGGACGCTGAGGTGGGCAGGCCCGCCCGGGGCCCGACGGACAGAAGAACAGACGGTCCAGCGGGCCGCACTCACCATGAGCTCGATGGTCTTGTCCTCAATCACCGAGTCGGGCTCCATGGCGGCCCCGGCGGCCCCGCCTCGCTCTCCCGGCGCAGCAGCGAACCGCCCGGGCGGAGGAGGCGACGGCGGAGGCGGCAGAGGCGGAGGCGGTACTCGCACCCACTCTAGCTGCCAGCCCGCCCGGGCCGCCGGCAGCTCCGCCCTCGTCCTCCGCGAACGCAGTACGCAGAGCGAGGACTACAGCTCCCAGCAGGCGCCGCGGGCTCCGCAGAGCCTTGTGGGAGCGAGAAGCCGGCGCCCGGCCATTCCCTCCTGGCAGCCCCAAGCTGAATTCTGAGCCGAGGGTAGCCCTGGAGAGTGAATGCGGGACGTGCAGACCTAAAGGAGTAAGGGCTCCCTCCAGGCAGAGCCTCGAGAGTTCCGCAACTACATTTCCCAGAAAGCCCTGCGCTCGGTTTCTTTTTCCGCCACTTTCGCCCGACTTCCCGGCAGCCCAAGTCGACTCAGACAGGAAGGGAAACTCAGAGGCAACTCTTCACTTGTCAGAGATCCTGCGTGAGCGACCGATTTCCGCACATGCGCGGTCGGTGCCCGCAGTGCCCATTAGACGCCTAGGTAGCGGCTCGGCTGGTCTACGGGGCCCTGGTAGTAGGGACCCAAGTTGGAGACAGGTGGGTTCTAGGTGCTTTAGGAGGGGATGCTCTTGGGGCTCGGGTGTGGGAGGGCCGGCGCGCGAGAGAGGCTCGGGCAAGGGAAGAGGGTCCTTCAGGGTATCCCTCTCTGGCATCCCAGCGAGGTGCTTGGAGATTTAGCTGGAGAAGAGGTTTATGGAGAGGTGCTGTGTGTATGCACCACGAACTGGAAGGAGCCGAGAAATGCAAGGGAACCTGCGTATATTTAGCCCCTTATTTATTCGCTCCGAAAGTATAACTTTCCAGCTCCTGCCGGGCACTGGGAATAATCACACTCTGAACATCACACAAAAGGCCTCCGTCCTCGTGGAGCTTAATTCTAGTCGGGGGTGCGGGAGGGGAACATGAACCAAAAGAGTGACAGGTGCTAAGACAGAACACGGCCGGACGCCTGGAGGCTCCTCGTGAACCTGGTGGGTCGGTCAGTGCCTTCAAAGACCATCAGGGACACTAACAGTTGAACAAGCTGGGTTTATTACTGGGTACTGGAAGGAAGAAGGCGCATCACGAGGAGCCGTGGGGCATCTCAGTGAGGGTTGTTAGGTGACTTGGGAGAGGGTTGGAGGAAGCAGGGCTGTACCTGGATTACGGTAGATGGTGCCAGGAATCGGGGAATTCTATGACTGAGTATCTCAGTAAATCTTACCTGGAAGGGAGGAGTAGTAGGCTGAGGGCAAGCTGTTGGCAAAGAAGTGGTAGCCCTGCCCTGGCTGGTGTGGCTCAGTGGATTGGCGTGTGCTCCCATAACTGAAGGGTTGCAGGTTTGATTCCCGGTCAGGGAGCATGCCTGAGTCGTTAGTTCATTCCCCAGTCCAGAGGTGCACAGGGTGCAACCAACTGATGCTTCTCTCTCTCCCAAAACAACTTTAAAAATGTCCTCAGGTGAGGATTCAGAAAAGTAGCAGCCCCTCATATTAGCGAGAATCAGGGATGTCTGGTCATTTTCTGTGATTTAAACATTATGTTTTATGTGCTGCTCAGAGAGAATTAAGAAATGGTCTTGTTTTGTCTTGATCTTTCATGGTTACAGAATGCCCCTGTCTCATGTTTATGTACTGTGAAATTATATTCAACAGGAGAATACAAGACCAAGCTAAGAGGGAGAGGCTATCATCTAGGAATGTAACAGCCTGGCTGCAATGCACCAGGTCAGCTTCCAACTGTCAGAGGCTGCCTCTCCCTTCCTCATGTGCTTTTTTGGTTCATTTTTTCATTCTCTGCACCTGTAAAGTGAGGGGACTAGATGAGCTAGAAATCTTCCCATTTCTAGGGTCCAGGTTATTACAGTATTTTGTACGCATGCAGGACACCATGCAAGTTCCTTGCAGCTAGCGTCTGGAGTTTCGTAGTCCTTATCTTGTGCTTTCCAACAAGGGAATTGAAAGAAAAGCAATAGGAAGACAGGGCACAGGATTGGAAAGTTACTGCCACTAACTTGCTCTCTGAATTTCATCAGCCCCTTCTCCTCCCTGTGCCGTGGGACATCCATTAGTAAAGCAAATGGGTTAGAATAACACCTCCACGACTTAGTAGCTTAGAATGTTTTATTATTATTATTACTTTTACAATTGTGTGGGTAGACTGGATTCAGCTGAGCCCACACAGTGCAAGCTGACATTACTCACGGGACTGCCGTCAACTGGGAGCTCATCAAAACAGCCTCCAGGGCCTCCCTTTCCCCGTGGCTTATCGTCAGTCGAGCTCCTGCAGGATAACCAGCTGCCAGGAGGACATGGACCCAATGAACAAGTGCTCATGAAGCCTTTGCCAACGTCCCATTGGCCAAAGCACGTTGTATGGCCCGGCCCAGAAGCCGTGTGGGAAAGGACTGTACGAGGTGATGGATAGAGTCATGGTGCATTGGGGACACCTGTGGAACAGCCAGGCGAGACTCCCGAGGCCCCGGCACGGGCCCCAGGACCTAGCCCATAGGGGAAGGGTAGGACTCACAAGCTGAATAGGCTACTCAACGTGTATGTTTACCACACCATCTTTTTTATTGCTTTGAAAACTTGACAGCCTCACATTTTAACCTCTGCATTTCGTGCTTCTCTCAAAAAATTGAACTCTCTGACTGTATGGGACCCGCAGGGCAACAGCATAGGGGAGTTAAGGAGCAGCCTTCCAAAGTGTGTCCTCTTGATTTCCGCCGTCACCATGCCCCCGTTGTCCACGTGCTTCACTCGTTCAAACCGCGTGCCCAGCCCTCATAGACACTTGAATTTGCAGCCCTTGGCATTGGAACTGTGGGGGAGATAACTCAGGGTTTCTTTCCTTTTATTAAAGCCATCTCCCTCCTTAAGGGGAAGAATACTAGTGTTACTGGGTCAAATTCCAGGAGCTGAGTGTGGAAGTCACCGAGTCACGTGGGAAAGAAGTCTCACCCGAGCTGCGTGAGAAGCAGACTGAGCCACGGCGTGTCAATTGGCTCTCTCCTCTTCTCAAACACGGACTCTGGAATGCAGGTCTTTTTATTGCTTCAGGCTTAATGCCAGCCTGTGACTACATTTGGCCATAAAGACAGAGGACCTTGAGACGCACTTTTCCCCCCGTTTTTCAGATACCTTTGAACTGGCGTTTACAAGACACAATTACAACAAAGTGGTACAAGTCTATAACCCCTTAACAAAAACCGTGAGGTCCAAGTAGGTTTCAGAAGTCAGGATTCTTTAAATTGTTTAAATTCATTGGTTGATTCTTTTTAATTTTTTATTGATTGACTTTAGAGGAAAAGAGAGAGACATCAATGTGTTGTTCCACTTTATTTATGCATTCACGGGTTGATTTTTGTATATGCCCTGACGAGGGATTGACCCCGCAACCTTGGCATATTGGGACGACACTCTACCCAACTGAGCCACCCGGCCAGGGTTCCACCCTTCTTCTCCATGCTTTGAAATACTAGAGTGGGACCCTGGAAGTATTTCTCCTCTGCCAGCTGGTGCAGCGGTTCCCTTTGTCAGTACAGCAGCCTAGAGGGCTGACAGCGGACCGAAGGGATTTCTCTCCCTGGCTCAAGCACGCCTTCTGTCCTTGTCTTTCTGGCACGCCGCAGCAGTGGTTTGCAGAGCTGCAGCCCACACATGCACACACACACAGATGGCTGGGGTGCCCAGAGGGGGTCCTCACGGTGAGTTTGGGGCGGGGGGCGGGTGGGGGGCCTCAGCAGGCAGTTTCCTGCTTGCCAGTCCCAACCTGCAGCATGCTAAAATGATGTATTTTCACCTGTGATGATGAGGTTTCTGAATTCAGATACATTAGAGAGGATAGTGCAGTGAAATTTTGACTTAATTCATTTCCAGCTAAGTCAAAGAATGCAAGTCTTTTGAGGGAGAATCTTGTGAAACCATAAAAGAGTGTTGGTAAGAAGTACTGAAGACAGCCCTGGCTGGTGTGGCTCAGTGGACTGAGTGTGCCGGCCTGCAAACTAGGGGGTGGCCGGTTTGATTCCCAGTCAGGGCACATGTTTGGGTTGCGGACCAGGTCCCCAATAGGGGGCGCTCGAGGGGCACCAAACATTGATGTTTCTCTCTTTCTCCCTCCCTTCACCTCTCTAAAATAAATAAACAATCTTTTCTAAAAAGGTATTGAAGAGCCCTGGCTGGCATAGCTCAGTGGATTGAACACAGGCCTGCAAACCAAAGGGTCACTGGTTCAATTCCCAGTCAGGGCACATGCCTGGGTTGTGGGCCAGGTCCCTAGTTGGGGGCTCATGAGAGGCAACCATGCATTGATGTTTCTCTCCCTGTCTTTCTCCCTCCCTTCACTTTTCCCTAAAATAAATAAATAAAACCTCCTTTAAAAAAAGTATTGAAGATAGGAGCTCCCTATTCTATCCATGCAACAAGGCTTCCTGTCTTACCTTTCTATAGAATCCAGACAATAAGTTATCACAAACTATATATTCACACATGACCGAAAAACAAAGCCAGGCTTTCTGACACTCTAATTTTGACTGACTGGTTTGATAGGATTGGCTTTGCCAATAATGGGTTATTAAATGAATTAAATCTTTAGTTCCGAAGGAACTAAATTTTAGGGAAAATACATTTAAAGCATAGAAGTAAAAACATTCATGAATTCATTTAGTGGCAAGCACGTATGGAAATCAATATTTGTATTTCCCTCCACCCTTTCTAAACTTACCAGGTGAAATAAGATACTTGCATGTGAAAGAGTCAAGTTGCACCAATCAGGAGAGAATCCACTGCACCAGCGATCCCCAACCTTTTCGGCACCGGGGACTGGTTTCGTGGAAGAGTTTTTCCATGGACTGAGGGGAGGGGGGATTGTTTCGGGATGACTCCAGCGCGTTAAGTTCAAGCTCATCTCCTGCTATGCGGCCCTGCCTCTAACAGGCCGGGCCCAGTACCAGCCCCAGGCTGGAGGTTGGGGACCCCTGCACTGTGGCCCACTGTCCCCGTGTATCAGAAAAGCAGAACCACTACGAGTGAACGAAGGAAGTTCTTACAAGGAGTTGACGTCATATAATTGTCCGGTCTAGTTAAGCAATGTCTGTAGGCTGTTGTCTCCCCAGGCGACGGTGGA